ATGCGCTTCACTTAAGCCAACTCAAGTTACAAATTTGAATTATAGCGTATTTGCCCACAAATAGCTCCACTTCTCATTATTTTTCTCTCTTCTGTCTGTTTCAATCTATAGCATTAAATTGTACTAATATGGGTTGTGGAGTCTCTACAGTGAAGGCACATCCTTTGAAAACCAAGAGCAAATCCTTGCACTTAATGGATTGTAGTATCTGTATATTGCAGGGGAAAGAAATAGTTGCCCTCAAAAGGATGAGCAACAACACCAATATTGCCCCAACTAAAATTCTGGGATCTAGGGAAAACTGTTTCAGAAATGGGAAACAGTCCAGCATGGTGGTTAGCATCTCAACCTGAATGGAAGCCAGTCACGAGCTGAGATAGCCCAGATATTACAAAACATGTTTGGACCCCAAATGAAAGCAAAGAACCACGAAAACATACACTATAAATTTTTTTCTATAGAAGATAAATACAATCTGGCAAAAATATAAATACATATTTTAAATGCCCGATTCTCAAAAAAAAAGTTAGCCCCCAAACCACTTCTCAGAAGGTTTACACAGTCAATATTAAACTACTGTGCAGAAGAGCTGAAGATATTGATAGCTGGTAATGCAAACGAGATTGCAGTTAATTGTTAACATCTCCTGGGCTACACTTCCTACGTCCCCGCACAGATGATGAATAAAATTATTTACCTATTCAAGTAATGAGAGCTATGCATTTTGATATCCACATACACTGTAACTCAGACCTCCTCTGAGATCCCTACCTGTAATTAGGAACAGATGTAAGATCTTGTTCTTGAATTGCTAAAAACAAATTTCAGCCCTCCTATGATAAATGACTTAGTGGCACAGCTCATGGTAAGAATGCTTCTGCCAAAGGACCCTCCTCAGGGCACTGGACCTCATCAGCCACCCTTGGCACAACAACCCTACTGGGGCCTCCCCACATATTTCACACTGCCTTTCCATTGCTGACATGGGACACTTGCTAAAACACCCCCAGGTGACAGGGCTACTGTAGAGCAGGAAAGTGGCAAGCAACATTTATCTGGCCTCATTCCTGATGAAGAAAACCATAGGTCTGTTCATCTGAAACCTCGGCAATTCTGTAACACATACAGACTTCTCTGCGGTCATTTAAAACTAAGCATACACAACATTATGTACTTTCAGCAACAACTCTCACAGCTCAGCACATGCGGCTGGGGAATACTCTTCAAATTATATCATGGGGGAAACTCATGATGACGTTCATTTTATTCTCCAAATGTCATGCTACCACAGGAAAACATGTCTACTGCAAGCAGCCAAGTTTCTTTTCATCAACTATTTTAACAGCTGGCTGAAATAACCCAGGAGGAATAGGCTGGTTCATTTTCTTGCTCTGGCATGTGGGTACCAATCCCAAAGTCTGGCAGAGAAGATTGAAAGCTCTGGAGAATTCGCTGTCTAAAGATGCAGCAGGGTGACCTCACCCTAGTCAGATGCATTGCTTGGGCTATCCTACATGTCCCAGCCCCATGGCAAATTCTGCCAGCAACAATAAGGCACCGAGGATGCGTAGCAGGCCCAACACATTTACAGCAGCAGGCCTGAAGAGGTTAAAAGGAGAGGAGGGGGACAAGTGAAGCTGCCTTCTTTCATATTCCTTCTGGACTAAATTCCCTCCCTTGAATTACGCCGATTGGGCAGAGTTTATAACCCCCCTGGCTCCTGGCTTAGGTGATTAAAATGATGCCTTGCAAAAAGAAAGTTGCAGAATAGCTGCAACCCCTCAGGCCCGTAGAAGACAGACAGAAATTTATATTTACTGAGGTCATCTCAGTACAAGAAAGTTTCACCGGTTTCATTTGCATCTGACTGAAACAATTCAAGTTAAACTGATGCGAATGCCTTCATACATCTTTATTTGAAGATGTTAAATGGGGGTTTACTTGATTTCAAAGCTAATCTACATCTAAAAGAAGCAGCCAGATGAAATAAGACTGCCCACAACATATTTTGCATTGGTTTAACTAAGCAGGTTTATCAGTCATCTCAGTGCAACTCCCTCATGTATACAAGGTCTGGAAATACATTCACTCTCCAGCATTACTCTGCTTCATGCTGGGAGAATTTGCAGCTGGAAGGGGCTCAGGGGAACCGCAATGACTAGAAATAAAAGGATTGTGGGGGGAATCATAGCTGGTGTGCTCATGGGCCCTCCATGGACATTGCCTAAATTAGAGTAATTAATATAGGGGAATGTGTCTGTGTTCCTCGGTAGTTTATAAATGTTACAAAAAGAGAAACGTTTTATATGTCCCCTGATGGATTTTAAATGTTAATAAATGATGTGCAGGGAGGTATTTTACATCTCTCCATTTAACAGTGAGCTGACAGCTGCAATTACGGGCCAGTCTCTGGCCCAGCAATTCTTACAGGAACCTGAGGCATAAATGGAATAGCTTTCTTCCAGAATAACAAAGTGCATCAGGATGCTGGCTCAGCATTTCAACACCCAAACAAAAGCCAAGGTGAGACATTTTTCACACCCTGGAAACTCCCTTTCTCTGTGACATGCACTTGCCAGTCATTGCTTCCCCTGCCAGCAGAGACCTACAGCTTTGCTTCCTGTGGCAGCTCTTCACATCACACGAATGCAAGAATTAATGGAGCAATCAGTTACTTACTATGGTGCTCCTCTGCTGTGAGGCAGACATAGATCTGGACTGTACCTGGCACATTCAGAGCAGCACAGGAATAAAGTGGTATTGCATGTCTCACTGTGTGCACTTTCAACCTGTTTTTGGTCAGAAACCTACTAACTCTGAATCACAGCAGCATTCTTTCTGGTCCCAGGTTTCTTCACGGCACTAGGAGGTCTGTGTCTGCATACCTATCTTCGCCAGCACAGACAGCCTATCCCTTCAAAAAGCAGCATAGGGACTGCTCAGTAATGTCTGCCCCAACAGAAAGCCCCACTAGGTTTCAGTATGCCCTAGCCACTGCCCCTCCCATGTCCTCTGCCCAGTTCTCACCAGTAGAACTGAGCCTCTTTGAAGTTGAAAAAAGTTTGAAGCAGTATTTTAGTTGTGTATGTTTCAGGTTGCAATCTGTGTTACGAAGTAACAACAGAGAAACCAGTACTCAAAACACTGTATTCCTGCTTGTCTCCTTTCAACCTCCCCTTTTTCTTAGCTACAGAACAGCCTTGGTACTGATCTGTTAGTCCTATTTTCACTCCATGAGAATTGCATCCCATTGACAAGAAAAGGTGATTCAGAACTGAATGAAACCAAGCAGAACTGTGAGCAACACCCTGCATTTTCCCAAAGGTAAAAGAATGTGGTTTACAATTCTATTAAAATCCCACAAGATAGTTTTCATTTTGTTTTGTTTTTGTCACTGACAAACTCTTTCTTTCTTTTATTTTACAACGGCATAAGACTACAGCTTAATATACCAGATTTATTTTTTAAAAGCCCTACACTTCCCACCACATCTTTATTTACACAAAGGGTTGTAAAGTGACTGGTTTCTTTCATCCTCCCCTTTCTGTCATTGGAAAACACTGGTGAAAAAAGGGCAAGTTCAACTATTAGAACGATAGTTTTCTTTCAATTACTGGTTCCAAAACTGCACTTCAGCAAAGCTAAGAAATTCTAGGTCGTAAAAGCAAGGTTTGGTTTCAAATTTGGAAAAGAATTAGGTTCACACTTTCACTGTAGTTGTGCTGTATGCAATTATAACCAAACATCATTACACATCTATCACTTACATATTCTCTCTGTTCTACACAAAGATTTCTCAGCTGTGTCTTAGGAATGGGTCTTGTTTACTCCTTTTAAGGTCTAGGTCTTTAGTACAGAATTTCTGGTACTGCTTTTCTTCAACAGCTATCTGTGGCTGGTTACACATTTCCACCATTTTGCATTAGTTTGAATATAAATGTTTGTGATTGTCCTTCCATTCTTCAGAACTCTGCTGTTTATGATTGTGAATGGATTTCCAGAGCTTGTGAACATCAGGGACCACGTGTTAATAACCAGTTTATGTTACGTATCACTTTCAGTTCATTCTTAACGGCATGGTTCAACCACCTTCATTTAAGTAAAACAGTAACACTGAGGTTACTATGGCCACTATTTATAATAAAGCATGACAGTAGCTTATTGTATTGGTCTATCAGATTATTATAAATGCCTGCTAATTAATCCAAGCTAATAAATGAGGGTAGAAGCAGCACCACCGTATGGAACAATAGCTATAGGTGCCGAAACACAGCTTGGCAGCTGAAAGCCACAGGATTATGGTAAAGCATTTCCAATGAGACACCATACCTAGGGCAGAGTGAGGTAGGAGAGGCTGCAGCACTAGGAGGTACGCCTGCCTGACCTAGCTCCATCCAAAACCTAATCCCTCCAGTGCTGGATGTTACCCTTCACAGAAATGCCCCGCACAGTCAGCCAAGCCTCTCAGAAGAAACACCCACAGCCTCTGCTGCTTTCCTCCCCCTAATGCAAAGGGGAAAAACAGTATTGTGCATACCTCCTTGAAAGATTGTCAGTCCCTGCAGCTAGGAGGTGAGGTAATATAATAAGGAAGGCCAACAGCAGTTCAACTGAGAGCACTAGATCTTCTTAGCCCTCATTATTGCGTGGACCCATCTAACCAGCTGCTGTTCTACTGCCAGCGACTGCCAATATTCAAGCCCAACAAACAGATTACAAATCCCCTCTCAGCTGCAATCTATTCTTTATGTTCTACCACCTCAGTGACAATCACAGAATACACCCTAAACGAGTCTCACTTTGAGGCAATCAAATTAAAGTCATTCCGCAATGGCTTGTTTGCAGAAACATCAACATTGTACCCGCCTTGTATCAGAAAGAGTGGTATTTTTCTACAGGGAAAAAGTTATTTGCCACTGACTTGACTGATTTGGCAATTTCTCTGCTTATCAATATCTCACAGTTCTTTCATGTTTACAAAATATAGTAATAATACTTACCATCTTGTGGGCTGCTGTGAGGAATAATTCTTCAGTTCTTCAGAAATGCTCAGAGATCCTCCAAAGCATCAATCTGGAAATAAAATAAGCATGATCATTAGCACATGTGGGGGATTTATTCTATTCATCGCCATTCTCCAATACACAAACAACTGCATTTGGGGTTAGGTGTTTGATCCTCTGTGCTTGCACGACAGCATAAAACTCACCACATTTTAGTACACCTCAGTGGTATCAGGAATCACTATTGGAGGTTACTATTATTGGTGTTTATATTTTTTTTCTCTAAAACAATACCTAAGAATTTAATCTAAACATGGAAACCTCCCTAGACAAAGAAAGTTCATGGGTCTATCAAAAACACAGAAATGGTATGAATTCACAATATGGAAGACAGAACAAATGAATTTATACATTCACAAAGCAGTAGTACTAAATGCCTGATGAAGGTGACCTGCGCTGTTGCTTGAACACAACTATTTCTTTCCAGTGGCTACCAACAGAATCCAAAGCAACAATGACCACTAGGCATGCCATTTAGATGCTTGAGACCAGGAAGTTAGCATAGACCCAAAAATAACAGAAATTACTAGTTCAATCCCACTTCAAACTGGACAGAGCGTCCCCACAGAGCTAAATGTCTCCACATAAATGTATTCCCAAACTTTGCTCACCCTTGGAAGTGAGCACATTTCAATTAAGGAGCACGGAGAGTCAATTTCCATGCCTGCCACAAGACCCAGTATGACCCTGAGAAAATAGAAGATGAGGGATTTTCTCGCACCCGAACTGCAGGTAGGGAGCCTGCATCCTCCTATCTGCAGCTTTAAACAAATTCCTTTCAATCCTTCTCTGTCCCTGCAAAATGGGGGTAGCGTTTTCTCTCTCTTCCCATCTGCTGCCTGCTTAGTCTGGGAATTCTTGGGGACTACGTCCATTTCTTCTAGGGTGTATAAACGGGGTGCTTAATGCAGGTCTGAGCTGCTCTAGGCTCTAACAAAAAGCAAAACAAACACAGCAATGACACCTCAACTGTGGCAATTGTGAATCTACATGCTGCTCACACAGACAGAGAAAAGCAGTCCACTTTCATCCCCAATCTGGAGTGCAGGTCTTTGTTGAGCAGGTCTCCAAGTTTAAAAGACGCCCTTCTGGGCCTCCATGTTTCTTGTCCCTCAGTAAGTTCAATACATACATTCACCGCAAGAAAATCAAGAGAGGGGGCTAATTAAGCCCTCCTGCTCCACAGTTTTTGCCAGAAACTTGACTCAAAACAGGTTTGTAGTCCAAGAATTGGGTTCTATTTTTTTAATGCATGCTTTATGCATTTCTAAGCTGCACCTAGATTAGAATTGGATGAGCCAAAGCAAATACATATGTGCACACGCAGACAGTGCTAGGTGCATTTTTCTGAGAGACAGGCAGAGAGCGAGTGAGTTTGCTTTCCCAGTATTTCTGCATCTATAAGCAGGAAGGCTTGAAAACCTTGCAAAGAAAGTCTGTTCCCTGGAGAATTCTTGCCTCGCTCTCTGCAGCTTCAAGAAGCAATCTCTGGCTACCGTGCATGGGAATCCCAGGATTTTGGCACAGTTTTAACATCACCATCATTAGAAACATTGATTTACTTTAATTACCACCTCGTACCCTGCACTGCCACATGCAGTCAGAATGTCAATTCTTTATCAATGTGTGCTGTTGACATGGAAACAGATCAGCTGAAATGGAAGCAAAAAGAAAAAAATGTGTTACTGCTCTAAGTTATACTTAGAAGCGGTAAATCTGTGTGTGCTACAACAGATTTAAATACTCAATAAACTACACAGACGAAATAAACAACTGTTTGGGGTGACAGTCGTTTCAGTTGTTTACATCATAGACTGCATTTAGAAAAGCTCCAGTGTTACTATGGTAACCACTTTTGCTTAAACGTAGTTGTGGACGCACTTTAGGTAGGCTCTAAATTAACTGCAGATGGAGGAGCAGCGCTGGGGATCCAGCCAAAGGAGCAGATACCCCCATCAGCCCTTCTCTCTGCCCCCTGCCCTACTGGGGACACAGGCAGAGCATTGTGCAGAGTAGGCACCCCAGCTCACTCTTTCTGCACTCTCAGCAAGGACCTGCAGCAGCTGACGGGCTGCACCAGGTCAGTTTTAGAGATAAAATGACACGGAGCTGCTTCTCATCCCCTCACAGCTCATAACACAGCCCAGAGCTGCTCGCTCGCTCCCTGCGGTCACTGGCTGGGTGGCACTGAGAAGAGGGGCCGGCAGCGGAGGCCTGCTGCATGTCTTTGGTCCTCTTTGGGACCTCTCCCTGCAAGAGAGCAGAGCTGCAGGAAGGTGAGTGTGCTGCACACACATTCTGCCAAAATCTGTGAGTTGGAGCAGACACTGCCTCACTATTAACTTCATGGAGCTAAGAAACCATCCTAAAAGATGCAACACAGACCTTTGACCAGCACTACATTTCCACTAGAAAGATTAAATCACTGTGCAGCTAAAGCTAGTTTCATAGTCATAGGGAACAAGGCCAGAGGGGCCACTGTGATCTGCTGTTTTTAATAGGGATTAAAGGAGCCTACGGTCTCAGGCACACCTGCCTTCCAACCTGAAAGTGAACAGCAGTGAGATGGAGATCACTGAGCAGAAAATGGAGGGAGAGGCTCTTCTGCCCTCTTGCCATGTGCCAGGGCAAGGGGCGGCAGGAGGAGCAGACACACTAAGGATGACTTCTCTGAAGAGGATCGTGGAGGCGCTGGGAGCCAAAGGCTGTTCAAAGCCCTTGGAGCCGGCAGCAGTGGAGAGACATGCAAGTCCTGAACTGTAGGCAACGCACCCCATGCTTCAACTGTGAGAAAACGTCAAGGAAAGGGGATTTTTTTTTGTTGTTGTTTCTTCCTTTTTCCACTTTTCACATTTCTGCATGATTACATTTGATAATGATGCCCACCTCCCAAAAGGTCGTGCATCAATTAGCAAGGGAAGGAAGGGCACACATCATTAATTACACACTGGCCTGCGAAATAAGAACATGGAATAAAGCATAACATTCTAAAAATAGCAGGAGGCCTGCCTTGTTTAGGTCAAGTTTTATTTTAATTCCCTTAATAAAACATCTGATATTAAACAACGGAGCGGAAGACATGCCGCTGTTTAGCCTCAATGGGTGCTTCAGACAGATCTGCTGCGATTTAATCTGCACAGCAGAATGCAAAGCTGGAGAATGTAAGTTTATGCGAGCGTGAGACATAATTGTTCCTTAAGCTTATGCAGCTCTTATCAATCTAAATGATCCCAAGGTATTCTACAAACCATATACGCATGGGAACGCTTCTACCTGTACTGCTGCTTTACATATGGGATTTTGGCAAGATCCAGGATGTGATCCAAAATGCTGGTACAGATACATGCAGTCAGAGAGAAGGAGAAAAGCTACGCACTGCCATGGGTGCGTGCCACAGACAGAATTATAGTGAACAAATTCTGCTCAAGTAGGGCTGAGGGAACAGAAAGGGATGAGAAAAGGACATGCAGTGCGTGACTCTGTAGGTACAACCAGTCCACATCAGAAGTGCTGTAACACTCGCTGGCCACAGTATTCTGAGGCAATTAAAGCATGCACACTGGAAGTGTACATGCTTCTGGAATGAGAGACAGCCTCTGTCTGACACTACGTGTAGGCTAAGCAGAATAGACTGATGAAGCAGGCAGAAAAGCATCTTGCTTATAACCAATTTTCAATTAGGGAATAGTAATGTAAAGATCACACAGGAATGTTGCAGAAAAGAAGAAAACAACGCCAGCTGCCCTAAGCATAAATCAAATGCCTTACACACACACACACGCAAAACCAAACCACCTTGTTCCTCCTCTGGAGAGCGGATTGTGGTTGCTGGGAAAATGTATTGCAGAGGGACAAAGGAAAAAATATAGTGGAATTATTAGTGCAAGCTCTTACTCTTTTGAAGCATGCCCTATGGGCAACTCAGTTTCCAGTCAGAATGTACCAGATAATCGTTTTCAAAGCCTCATCTGAAAACACAAGTGATGATCTTACCCTACACCAATGGCAATAAAGGCAGCAATCTTCCACCTATGCTAAACCAAAGGTACTGTTTTCTTATGCCCCTAATACATGTGAGGAACAGATGCTCCTAAAAGCCACAGTCTTTTGATCCTATAAATTGAATGCTTTTCAGAATGTCACACAGAATTCTCCCATCAATCCTAAGAAAACATAATCTAAAACAGAAGATGATTTTGATTTTCCTCGTGACTTGGCAGATGAAGAGATAATTAGATATGGAAAAACGAGTGGTTTTGAGGATGAATGTACCTGCTGTAATCCTACCACCAAGTGAATTAAGGTTTGCCTCCTGCAGTAAGAAGTATTCTAACTCAGCATCTGGAGGAAAGCTAAGACCTGCCAGATTACAGAAGTCATCGGTGGTCCTTCCTGTGAAACCAGTGAACAGAAGGAAAGGGAAGAGAGGGAAAAGTAGAAAAAGTCCTTCCTGTCTCCATCCGTGGTTATAAGCAATAAAAGAATCCAGCAACACTACACACACACAAAAAAAAAAAAAAACAAAACCAACACCTAAGGTGTGTGATTGCCTATTCTTTTCTCCCCATTAAACCTAAATGATTCCTCTTATGGACCGGTCACATGAAGCAGCTTATTTTGTCAAGTGCTCTTCAGCCTAACCATGGCTCCCACCTCTGGAAGTGGAAGAATCCCATATGTCAAGTAAGCGAACACAGGTTATACTTCTGCAAGGATAGCTCAATGCTGATTGAAAGTCTCATTTGTCAAAGGAAAGAATTGTTGTTTTTCTTTTCAAATTAACCTAGATGAAGAAAAAGATATTTGTCCAGACCTAAGAGCTTTTTCATTCCTCAAGCAGCTGCTAGTTTGAGAGAATTTTAAATGGTTGGCCTTTATGAAATGAATTGGTAATCACAGCCCTGTGCCTCACACTCTAGACAGAACGATTCAGGGGACTGGTAATAGGATAAAGCCTTTCACCTCGCCAGCTGTGGTTCAAATTCAGAATAATTCTTAACTTACTAAACACTGTCACTACATGATGGGCATTTGATTGTTATCGTACAATGAATCACGTGTTTTTCTATCGTGGAAAAGTACTCATAGCGCAGATAATACACTAATTATTGTTAGTAATTAGCAGCACTCTCAGTAATGACAGTAGGAGACCTGCAGAAAATTACCCATATGTTCACCCCTTGGAGGTTGTCATTTCAAGGCAGGGGTTAAGCCCTTCAGACAGTCACTGTGGCGATTCTTGTAGCTCTTTCCCACCTTGGGTATGTTTTGCAGATGAACTGAGTTCAGCCTCCAGAGCTGTCAATCTACCACTTTTATTACGGCTAAATTACTTTTGTTTCAAGTGCTGGAGGCGACTTTGAATGCCGGGTCTAATTAGAATGTAATTGTCGGAAGATCTGAGCAACTGTGGCAGGTTTGGGTGGAGAATTTGGTGGCTTAGAGTATTTGTGCAAACAAATTTCACAAGCACAAAACCTGCAGCTGCTTCTAACAGTGGGCATTTGCTTAGGCAGCGCACACAACTAACTGTCCAAGGCAGAGAAACAAAACTTTGAATTTCCACATGCAAACTGATAGACATGAAAAAGCCATCTGCCCAAATAGGCTGTTTCCTGGGTCAAGCACTTTTCATGGTACCAGGATGATTTGGTGCAAACAGCAGAAAAGGAGTTTAATCAGGAACAAATATATCTGTACAAATGGAACGAGGTACATTGAACTATGCGAGGACCAATAGCAACAAAGAAGTATACATGTTTATAAATAACCCTGTTTTCAGAATAATAGTTTAAAAAAAAACACAAAATAAATCTCAAATATACATATATATATATAAGTATATATATAAGAATAAATCCTGCCATTTAACACTAGAAGCCTTATCTTTCCCTAGAGGAAAAATATTCATAAACAGTCCAGGAACTCCACACCCTGTTGCTGACTAGCATTTTTCCTCTACTTCCTTTGGGAATGCACAGACCCTCACCACTTCAACCCCTCTAATACAGCACAACCCAGAGATTTGCAGGGAAATCCTGAAGATCTGAGAGTGAACATTTAAAGGCCAGGGAGCTTCTGCTAGGAGACCCTGTGCTTCCAAGCTATCTCCTGAGGTCTACCTATCATAATGACAGCGTTACCTCTTTGTGCAGCTCCAGGGAGAGCTGTGCAAATATTGGATTATCTGGTTCAATGGCCAAACAAAAAACAATCATGGGTAGAAAAAAATTCAGTTGAATCTACTTGGAATAAAAGCTAAGGGGGTGGGGAATATGGCTAAGGAAAAAGAAAAAAAAAAAAACAAGGAGGAACAAAGGAGGAAATGTTTGCTTTTAATGTATTAAATCCTCTCCTCTATATTTTTGACATGAAAGGGAAAAAAAAAAAGGCCACACAAATTTAAATCAGTTTAAACCCTTCCTTTTTCTCAGTGTGATTTTTATTTGTTTGTTTGTTTTCCTTGCAATAAGCCTGCACTAAATTTCATGTCACACCAAAACAGATCCGGTCTCCCTGAAAAATTTGTTTCCTTCAGCAAATCTACTGCTTAGTGTCACTTTGCTTTCATCGAGCTCTAGGAAGAATTGTACAGTCTGAAGTATAGAGCTCCAGTAACCAGACTTCTGCCTATAAGGAAAGAGACAAGTTTTCAAGCCAGAAAACTCATCTACTCAGTCATTATGTGATAGCCAATTTTTTTCCCCCACAAAGGGAGAAGAGAACCAAATACCATCCTCTGAAGGACAGACTAGTAGCCTCACTTACTCTCCGTACCATACTTGCTATGTTTTGTTCTCCTGTAAACAAAACCACAGCCACAGTTCCTTACTCAGCTGATTTTTGTTTTGCTCCCACAGCCATGCCTGTCTGAGATGAAAGGCAGACAGATTTACACCAAGGGCAGTAAAGTCCATGAGATGCCATCAGCACATTCCCACATGCCTATGTAATGTGTTCCTTAGCTTGGCTGGCAGTGGGTGCACCTGGAAACCCGAGTGGTTACTGGTTTCATACAGCTCTATCAGGACCGGCTGAGTTGTAGTTGGCTCCTCTGCTTGCACAGAAGCAGATAAATTGGATTCAGGAGCTTCTGCTGCAGAACTGGCTTTAGTGAATATGAACAGATACTCTCTACTACATAAATACATATAACAAAAATCAGGTTGAAATTTGCTCAAAATGACAAAAAAAGAAAAATACAAAGGTCTGCAGAACTGCCGCTGGGAAATACGAACATTACCATTTTCTAGAGAAAATAGATACTTATGTATATATACCAGAATTGGAGCCAAATTTTCTCAGAATGACAAATGTTGTAAGAATTCATAAGCCTTCATGAAAACCCAAATCATAAATCCGTAAGTCAAAGCAATAGCAGACAGGCAAAAGTCTGTTTAAACTTCTTTCCTCCACACATTTTCTACATGCAGAATAAGGCACTGGCCAATATTTATGCTATATTCTACAAACTACTGTCCACAAAAGAGTTTGCTTCCATGGATCACAAGCCAGCTAAACACCCCAGAAGCACAACTAGAAGAGACTGAAAGCCCATTCAGAGTTTACCAGCAGCTTTGTCTGGATAATGTTTGCATGGGAGGAGAATAGCTAAAAAGTAAAGCTGAGAAGAGAAACCTGACAGCCAACACGAAGAAGTTGGAAGACACATTGACAAAGCAGAACCAGGACTTCAAACAGCCATAGAATAATATATATATATTCAAAAAGAACTCCAGAAGGTAAAGGCAGAAGCTTGCAGGGGGAAGCAGAAACTTGATGGATTTTGAAAAGAGAATATCTAAAAAGGAATCAAAATGTGCAGGGGCTGGGAGTGCAAGTGAAGATCCAAAAGTAAACACACAAAAAAGGAAAATATAATTCTTGCTGGGGAATGGTGGATATTCTTTGACAGTGTAACAGCAACAAAAGGTAAATTGATACATCCCTGCCTTCCATTCTAGGTGACTGTAAAATACCAGAGAAGAAAGCACACAAACGTTACAAGTGGAAAAAAAGTCAACGTGAAGAAACAGGAAAAAAAAGCTATTTAAATAATGAAAACGCAGAATCCTGTAAAGAAAATCTCTCTAATGTGTAAGATGAATGGTCTTCTCCAGGTGGCCACGGGATGAATAAAAGCAGAGGTATTTGAGAATGGCCCCATCCTAGAGCCCAGGATTACCTGAAGTCTAAGCAGACACTCGACAAAGGGAGTGCTTCTCCTCATACTTGCTCTGGGCTCATGTAAAGGTCAGAGAAGTATTGTTCCAGTCCAGTACACAGCCATCTTCTGGGATCAGGGAGCATGTATAAGTAAAAGGGCAGGAGAAACCTAGTCTTTGTCATCCTGCAAATACACAGCCATGCTGTGGGCAGTAGAGCTGCCCAGTTTCATCAAAAAAGGCTCTATTATCAGTCGTAAAGGACCGAAAGAGTCCTTTACATGTTGCACTCCCGCACTAGACATCATCCAGGGGTGTGATGTACAGCACCTGTGTTTATGGGATGGGGATATAAATCATCCCCAAGAGTACAAAGCTGCAGAAGAATACGTCCACTAACCTTGATTTAATAGCTCACGGCAGACACAAGGAGACACGTAATGGCAGATCTCTGTAAAGCCAACCCATGTCTGTAGCACGTCTGACAGGGTATGTAACAGTTTTTAAATTCTGCACGTAGGGATCAGATTGCATGGAGTCTGCCTCTAAGACATCATTACAACCTGCACGTTCACACCTCACACGGGTTTCAGGAGACCTCGCTGCCTTCTCAGCCACGCTCAGCCAGAGTAGCACTTGCAAGACAGAGAACATCTGCTTCTCAGATACTCTGTTTATTCCGGCTGACAAACACACTGCATTGGTCCAAGTGTCCCACACAGCCCAGGAGCAACACTGTGATGTCTCCTTCCCTCCGAACACGCACAGAGCAGGAAACTCTACCTTACAGACAGGCCCTGGCAGGGTGTGATGGGCGGGGAGGGCTCGGCAGCTTCTCCTGCTGACACGCGGCCCTGCTGCATGCAGCACTCCTCATCTGCGTCAAAGGAAGGGCACAGACGCAACCTGAAAAGTCACAGAATGCAGAACACACCAAGTTGGAAGGGATCCATAAGGATCATCAAGTCATACAATTGTTAAGGTTGGAAAGACCAGTAAGGTCATCCAGTCCAACCAACGCGAGCTGAAGGCCTCACCCCATTGCTGAGAGCTTCCCCCTGGAAGAGCGGGACTGCTTTGGGCTCCTGCCCCATAGCTGGCCTACAGGCCCCCCTGGGGGACCTGGGCCCTGCTTGGTGTGTGTGTCAGCCCCGACACCACTGCCCCCATTTGAGGACCGGGAGCGTGCCGTGCTGAGGCGCTCCCCCTCACCTCAGGAGGGCACAGGCCTTCCCTCAGGGCTGCCTTTTGTCCCCGGGGCTGCCGCCTCCCTCACCTTTCATATTTACAAGAACGGTGCCAAGGTTTGCACGTACAACACCTAGGATTGAAATTAAAAAAAAAAAAAAAAAAAAAAAAAAAGGGCTTTGGGGACGACATTCAAGCTTAATTATTAACCCGCGGGAGCGCTTTCCCCGCACCTTTCTGCTTCGTCACGCCTTTACCGCGCCGGGGGACAACATGGCCGCCCGGGGGCGAGGAGGAGGGGGAGAGCGGGCGGGGAGCCAGCACGGCACTGCGCAGCGCGGCCCGCCTCGCCGCGGGGGGCGGCCACCCGGCGGCAACACCTGCCCCGGCGGCTGCCGCTCCCCCGCGGAGCCGCCGTCAGCGCCCGCCCAGGCGCTGCGATCCGGCGGGGGCTGCGGGAGGATGATGGAGGAGCCGCGCGTCGCCTCCAATTAGGATCAACGCTCCCGCCGCCCCCGCGCCGCCGCAACGGCGGGGCCGCAGCGCCCCCTGCCGCCGCCCGGCGCCCTCCCGCCCGCGGCGCTCACGGCCCCCACCGCCCCGCCCCGAAGCCCCGAGGCACGCAGGCCGCCGCAGCGCCGACCCCAGCGGGAAGGATCGGCGGGAAGGGATGCCGCTTCTCTAGCGCTCTGTTACACCCTCGGGTCAGAGTGCCCGTGCCGCCTCCGCTCCGAAATGGTGTCAAAACGAAGGGTGCGCTTTGCTGCCTTTATGGAAAACACCGCATCTCTCCCTCACACTTTTTACTACTTTTTGGCAGCTGTTTCAGAGCTCAAGACGAGTTCTTTAGCCTGTCAGCAGGCTGGAAAGTAGGTTCTGACTGCAGAATTACTGTTTGTGGATGAAACACAGACCTTCCTTGTGCACCTGCTTGTAATGTAAACATCTCGAGTTGCGTTCTGAGTCACAGCAGGGCTCGGGTCTGGATCCAGTGTGCCCTACAATGGCAGTCCATGGAGACCCCACACAGGCACGCAGTGGCTTCCACTGTTGGTACACAGTTGTGGCGCTTTGCTATGAATGAAAGTATGCCATTTCCTGTAGGTGAGCCTGCTCCCAGGGCACAGCAGCCAGGCAGAGCCTTGTTTCAGAGAATCAAAGTCATTTAAGTTGGAAGGGACCCCTAAAGGCCGCCTGGTCCCACTCCCTGCACCAAATAGGGGCATCTGCAGCTCCATCAGGTGCTCAGAGCCCCTCCAGCCTGACCTGGGCTGTCTCCAGGGATGGGGCATCCACCTCCTCTCTGGGCAACCTGTGCTAGTGCTTCATCACCCTTAGTGTAAAACACTTCTCCCTTGTATCCAATCTAAATCTCCCCTCTTTTAGTGTGAAACCATTTCCCCTTGTCTTGTCACAGCAGACACCACTAAAGAGTCTGTCCCTTTCTTTCTTACAACCCCCTGTAGATACTGAGAGGCCACTCTCAAGTCATCCCAGAGCCTTCTGTTCTCTATGCTGCACAGCCCCAGCTCTTTCAGCCTGTCCTCGGAGGGAGGTGTTCCATCCCTTGGATCACGTCTGTAGCCCTCCTTTGGATGCACTCCAACAGGTCTGTGTCTCTCCTGCACTGAGGAGTCCCCATCTGGATGCAGTTCTCCGGTGAGGTCTCACAGTGCAGAGCGGAGGAGCAGGATCACATCCCTGACCTGCTGACCATGCTTATGTTGATGCAGCCCAAAGTATGATTGGCTTTCTGGGCTGTGAAGGCACACTGCTGGCTCATATCCAGCTGCCATTAGCCAATGCCCCCAGGTCCTTGTGGCAGGGCTGTGCTCCATCCTTGAATCCGTCAGCTTGTACCGATAGCAGGGGTTGCCACAACCCAAGTGTATGACCTTGCACTTGGCTTTGTTGAACCTCATGCCTAGTCACCCCTTGCCAAGTTCATCCTCTGCAAATGGGCTTGTATGTCAACAGATAAACCTCACCATTTGCAAGGCACACTAAGCCCTTGGGAAGGGAGATTCATTCTGCAGAGAGGAAAATTTGGCAATGCAGCTGCACAAGTCATAGAGCACTGCGTATAGTGACTCATTATTTATCAACAAAGAAAGAACCACGAGCAGGATGTAATGGTCTGGGGACAGGCTGATGTCACAGCAAGGAGTGGGAAAACGGCAAAGACAATTAGAGTATTATGACTATCTTTAACTACATGATACAATCAGACCCTTCATTACTATTATTAGTCACTATGGTTCTGTAACTACAAACCCACTCCATCCGTGTGTGAGGTTGTGAAAAATTTATGTTAGCAGATCATTAATTTTTCTTACAAATTCCTTCTCATTTCGTTTTTCTAAGAGATGTCTAAACTGGGCAAAGTAGTTTTGAAAGAAAAGCTCTGAAGTTATCCCTGGGGGAGCAAAAACGCAGTATTGCCAACACAATCTATTCAAAAGAATGAATCAGCCTCCTGGAGAAAGGAGGAGTAGTTCAAAACAGGACTAAATGGAAAAAGAAAAATCATTTGCTTTATAGTTGCTTCTGTTACTTTGGCATACTTAAGGTTTACATTTTGAACCTTTTCTTTGTAATCATGGCAGCTGGAAACTTGATCTTTTAATGGAAAGTGAGAATGGCCGGAATCCCAGAGACTGGGCTGCCAGGAAAGCTCTTGCCCCCTTCCACCCAAGATTTGGCATTGGTGAAGATGCAGCCAGATCCAGGACTGACAGGGACAGCCCATACTTGAGAAATGTTCAATTAGCTATCATTGCAGTTTGTCATCTCTGTAGGTTGTTTCCAAACAGTAATGTGGCTGATATACACACAGAAACTGAAAAACCATAACTCCTGTGAAGAAGCAACCCCTAAAAGACTATCAGTTCATAGTGCTGTAATTGTGATGGAAACGAAGCACAAAATCTCAGCCTCCTTATCCAGCGAGCTGGAAATCAGCAACACCTTATGCTTTGCAGCATTGGCACAGCTTGTCAATACTGCACGCTTCTCCCTGGTAGATTGCCCAAATGACATCTCCCATATGAGGATAAATCACAGGTGCAATCCTGCGGGAGCTCTCAGAATTCACAGTGGGAGAGAGCCCAACACCCATTCCTGTTCTTCGTTCCTGATGGGACTGGCATGTTTTCCCATCCTCTCCTTTTGGTTATCACTGCCTGACATAAAATCTGTGAAGATTAAGCCAATTTTATTAACTTCTGGGGCTGCTCTAAGCTTTCATCTAGGCAATCCATCAGCACACCCCATCATCACATTCTCTTTACCCTCAGTTTCATATGCAACCGTCAGTGAAATCTGTTCACCATGCCTTTTCCCCAGGTCACCCATATGGCCCTTATTGCATATGGTTATGTCCGTCCTGGGCAGAAGTTGTTGTTTCTCTATGAGGCTTTGAGCCTGCGTCATTTCAGCCTGGGAAATGTGCTGTGCCAAGTATGCCTAGAAAGCTGAGGAGAGTCTTGGTGCAACAAAGCATAGGGGCTGGTGCGCTTTCAGCACATTCCGCCCTAAACAGGTCTTCAGTTCCTCCAACATGACTCTTGTCATCAGCAGTGTGTAGCAGTGAATTATCTCACCCCTGTAAATTCAACACATGGCAGCACATCCCCAGCCCATCTCACCACCTGCTGCAATGGACACGAGCTGGGGGGAAGAAGCACAGCTTCTTGCCTCCTTCTGGATATAATGGTCTCTTGGTGCTACTCAGGTAATTACAGCTGCATGTTTATTTGTAAGCTTCTTTATTGTCCCTAGTATTCCCTGTGGCCAAGAACCAAGGAAAACATCAATTTTCTGAAAGCATTCTGGCTTAAGCTGGCCACTGGTGATGTAACATGGGCATCCCCAAAGTGTATAGTGTGTACCCATAACCAAAATAGGGTCATCTCTTGTTTCCAGAGAAATTTCTCTAGCAGTATTAGGAAAGAGATTGTAGGAAAGAAAATGTGCACTGAACTGCTCCCCTCTGCAAATACAGGAAAGTATTTTTGAGGTATTACTATCAAAAGTATTTTGGTAAAATGCTTCTCTAAGAATACTCAACGTCTGCTGCCAGCAGAGAAATACGTATTCTCAGCGTCGATGTTTATTGCAATAGCTTTGAATCTGTGATGAGCACGGTATTTTCATCCCAACAGGTTGTTGTACCACTTATCCACATGGAATAGATAAACATTCTTTGTGTGGTGAAGAGAGGCAGAGCTGCGTTATTTGAGAAGAATGCTGGTCACTTTTGAACGTGCTCTGTAAGACAACAGTATGCTCTTTTTCCACTCATCCTTAATAGGTGTTTGAAATTACAGTAAGTGTACTAAAGTTAATACTAGAGATAAAAATATATCAAAGGACTCACATTAATTGATTGTCAAAATATCTGATTTCACTCCTCTATACCTGTCTTATTCAACATCTTCATCAGTGACCAGTATGAAGGGATAGAATACACCCTCAGCAAGTCTGCTGATGATTCAAAGCTGGGAGGAGTAGCTGACACAACAGAAGGCTGTGCTACCATTCTATGGGACCCAGCCAAGCCCCAAGAGAATTGGGCAGGGAGGAATCTGATGAGATTCAACAAGGGCAAGAGCAGAGTCCTATAGCTGGAGAGGTATTACCTCATGCATCAGTACAGGTTAGGGGCTGACTTGCTTGAAAGAAGCTCTGCAGAGGACCTGGGTGTTCTGGTGGACAGCAAGTTGGCTGTGGGCTGGTAGTGTGCCTTTGTATCCATGAAGGTATATGGTATACAGGAGTACGTTAAAAAGAACATGGCCAGGATGTCGAGGGAGCTGATCTTCCCCCTCTTCTCTTTCCTGCTGAGGCCACATCTGGGGTACTGTGTCCAGTTCTGGGCTCCCCAGTTCAAGAAAGGAAGGGAACTGCTGGAGAGAGCCGAGCAGAGGGTCAAAAAGATGATTGAGAGCCTGGGGCATCTTGCTTGCAAGGAAAGGCTGTGACCTGTGACTGTCCCCCTGATGGGGGATCTAATAAATGCTTATAAATACCTAAAAGGGCAGGAGTCAAGCGGATGGTGCCAGGATCTTTTTGGTTGTGCCCAGTGACCCAACAAAGGGCAACAGGCACAAACTGGAACATAGGATGTTTCATATGAACATGAGGAAAAACTTTTCTTTGAGAGTGCAGAGCACTAGAACTGGCTGCCTAAAGAAGTTGTGGAGCCTCCTTCTCTGGAGATACTTAAAACCCACCTGAACGCTTTCCTATGCAACCTACCCTAGGGAAGCTGCTTTAGCAGGGGTTGGATGCGATGATCTCCAGAGGTCTCTTCCAACCCCTATGATTCTGTGATTATTTTTTTTTTCTTTTACAGTAGCCAGACACCCAGCTGATCAAAGCTGATACGGT